GGAAATGCTCAGAGAAGGGGACAGCCAGCGGGGATGTGAAGGAAGAAAAGGCCACAAAGAAGGGGCAGGCCTGAGGCGGGAAGGAGTCAGGAGGCCCTCAGGGCCAACTCAGGGGAGGTGATAGGTGCGGCCCCGCAGAACAGCGGCCAGGCGGATCCTTTAAAGTCTGACCGCACCTGGTCACCCACTCCTAGGTGTCCTCCCCCAGAAACACAAAGGCAGACGTGCAGGTCGCCAGGCATACGGAAAGGCTCACAGCAGCCCCCAGACCAGGCTCCCAAGCGCCCGCCAATCGGTGATGTTGACCCGGGCCGAGGACAAGACTCACAGTGAGGAGGAGGGGACTGTGGGGACCCAAAGTACCGGGGCGGGTCTCGGAGGAGTCAGGCAGAGTGCTGCACCCTCAAAAAGAGCATGTGCTGTACGATTTCATCTGTACGAAATTCCAGAAAATGCAGCTAAAGAAAGCAGCTCCCCGATGCTGGGGAGGTAGGGGTGGAGGCGAGTGGAAACAGCCTGCAAGGCCGAGACCTGCAGCTCGGTTATGGGCTGTAGCGGACACACGAGTCACACTCAGAAAACTATCATCTGTAACAACTGAACACGTCTGGTCACTTTATGCCAGTTAGACCCCCAACAAAGCTGTTCTTACTGAAAGAGTCAAGGTCACCAGAGCAAGGATGGGCCAGGGCAGCAGGGCCCAAGGGCGAGTCGGCCAGTGGAGAAGCCACAAGGGGACCCCGTGAGGGCCTCTGGTCTGTGCGGCACCCAGTCGTAAATGGAAAAGTGAGTCCGTCAGCACGGGCTGGATTTTCTCACTGTCTGGCTATTTCCCAAGCAGGGCCTGCGACCTGGGGGGGCTCCTCCTCTCTCACACGTCCCTCTGTGACTGTGCCCAGATTAGGGAGCTCTGGCAGCCTGCGGACCCAGTCCGGTGGCCACTACCATAGATTCCCTCTGCTGCAGAGGCCCCCTTGCCTAACAGGCTCCGCTTTGGAGGTCATCTGGATGGCTGTCCCAGCCCCACTGCCACAGTTCGCAGCCCTGGGCTGCTCACTGCCCTCCAGAGCCCTTTTACAACTACAATTTGGAATATAAAGCCAAGATCCTGCTGCTGTTCAGAAACTAAGTCTTTGGGGTAAAGAAACTGCCTGAAGAGGGGAGGGTGTAGCTCAGTGGTAGAGTGCATGCCTAGCATGCACAAGGTCCTGGGTTCAATCCCCAGTACCTCCAGTAAATAAATAAATACATCTGATTACCACCACGCCTTCCTCCCCCACCGCACAAAAAAAAAAGAGAAGTTGCCTGAAAGAGGCAGCCAGGGCCCAGGGAGATCTCTGGGGAAGGGTCGATGCCCGAGCACCGGCCACAGAATGTGTGCCCATAACTCCTCCGGTATTTCCGTGTGTTCTTTACTCTTGGGAAAAGTACAACCTTCATTCGGTCGAGGGCCATCAGGAAAGAGCTGCACACTTGGAGGGCAAATCTCCCCACCAGGACTGGCCTCTTTACGGCCCGTGGCACGTGTGGCCTGAGCTCCAGGGCTCTGAGGCTTACCTCTGGGCAAGGATGAATTTGGGAGCCTGCGCTGGGGGCTGTGTCACCAAGAAGCCACGCGCCAGTCCCTCTGCCCGGCCACCGCTGGTGCCTGGACCTTCCTGCAGGTACGTGCTCTGGGGGTTGACGCTGGGAGGGTCAGCAAATCCTGCACAGGAAGAAATGCCACAACTCAGGGCTGGAAAAGGCAGCAGGGTCCCCATGCAGCACGACAGAGAATCCTGCAGAGAGGCCGTGTCCAACCTGTCCAGCCCCAGGCTCAGCTCCCTCGCTGAGGGGAGGGAAGCCACCACTGGTGAGCTCAGTGGCCTCTTCAGGCTCCCAAAGACCCGAACAAAGTAACAGTTTGCTGACTTCAAATTCTGCTTTGTCATTGCAGACCTCATGTCAGCCCCTAGTGCGGAAGATCCAGAATCCAACAGAACTATGACGCTGTCCACCAGAAGCACACAACAGTGTGAGCTGACTGTACTTCAATGAAAGAAGAAGACTCAGCATCCAGACCTGCCCCATGTCCACTGCGCCGCCTACGGACAGACAGGTGGGCATCCGCTTCCTCCTGCCGCTCGTACTCATTCGCCAGAGGCTGGGCTGTTTCCTTCCCCTTTCACCTTGGGCTTCGCCCCAACGTCACTGAGGTGCGAGGTGTCGCTACCTTACTCTGCACTTTCCCTCTGCTTAAAATGTTTCAGCAAACATCTCAGGGGACCTTGGCCTCTCTAAGGCAAGCCACTGTGGATTTGATCAGTTCTGGTCAACAGATGTTTAGGAGCAAAGTGAGCTAAGAAGGATGGCCCATTTCTGCCCTAAGTCTGTCAGGTGGTAAAGCGACCCTGAGTCCCTGATCTCAGCTCCTCAGCAACAGTTCCTCCTCCTGTCTACCAGCCAGCTGCCCAGATCTCCCCCGCCATCTGGTACACGACTCCTCCCCTGTTTTATGCTGTTTCCTCTTTCCTGCACAACTTTCAAGATACTCTGAGGTCCAGGAAATTCGGTTAAGCACTAATTTGAACATTTCTATTTCCAACGTAATAGGTCAATGAGATATCTTCTTCCTCCAAGAGAAAGAAAAATAAAAAGCCCCAAGCCCAGAACAAAGCAGGGGTCAGGGGACGGGTAACTAGCAGGGGAGAGAGGTCCCTGCTCTGCAAACACAGAGCACAGGTCCATCCCACCCAGGCGGTGGGTGTCTGAGGGGAAGCCAAGGCCGAGGACCCTGAGAAGCTCGCAGCGAGGGAGGCGGAGCAGGGTGGCCTCCTGGTGCTCAGGCGGTCGGTCAGCAGGGAGCTGGACACCTCCCGGAGACCACCACCCCTCACACACACGGGACGCGGCGTGAAGACCAGCTCCCCTCATCCCCGGGTGAGGCTGCCCAAGGCCCTCCCGACTCCAGCCCTGTTAGTAAATACGGGAAGGCAAAGGCGAGCCTCTGAAACGGAAGACCAGTCGGCTCAGACGGAAAAGCTGCCTCGGAGAAACCAGACTCGAGCTCTCCCTCTTTGGGGCCCTGCCTCTTCCTCTACTCAAGGAAGGACCCGAATCCAGGATCCCAACATTCCCCACTTCAGGCAGCAAAGGTACTTCCTGAAACTTCTAATTAGGATACTCAGAGATATAGAAGCTATCGCATCTAGAAAAGTAACAGGATCTCTGAAGAAAGGAAAATCAGTAATGGCACCACAGAGCCTGGAGTTCTCTTATAATGGTCAGAATAAAGTATCAGAAGACCGAATTTAAGGCAAAAGCACACACAATAAAAACATATATTTTTTTTTAAAGATAAGCATTTTGGGAGATTGCTCCAGGATTTCCAACATCCAAATAACATTCGTGCTCTCAAGGGAGAACTGGAGGGAGGAGATTATCAAAGAAACTATCCAAGAGTATCATCCCAAATGCCCAGAATAAGTCAGCTACACTTCAGTCTAATAAAATGCCCAGAGCTTAACAGAGACCTTGTTCACAGACTCTTTAAATTGAAAGGCTTACCGACAAAGTGAATTTAAAAGACTCACACCCAGGACCATCACACCCAGTCTCAGGACCATTCTGAAACTTCAGAACACCAAGACAAAAAGCTCCGAGAGAGGAAAGAGACGTGAACATCAGAATGGCATCCGACTTAAAATGACAACACCGGATTCTCCAAGGATGAGATGCTTTCAGATTTCTAAGGGGAAAGGATTTAAGCTCAGAATTCTGTCCCTGACAAAGTGGTCATCAAATATGGGGGCAGATTAAAGACCATTTCAGAACATGCAAGGACTCGGAAAATGTCCCTTGCAGGCACCCTTCCTCGTAAAGTTCACTGAAGACATTCTCTAACAAAACAAGAGTCAGGAAAGAAAGAATAAGGCCTGCAATTCAATTTGCCGAAGCAGACCCAGGGAGGCAGCCACAGGGGCCCTGCGGGGCAGCTCCCCTCAGGCCGAGAGAGCGAGCACTTGGATGGGAGCAGGAAGCAGGCTCCCGGCAGGCAGCCTTCAGAGCGGACCTTGAAGCACGGGGAGACGTTAACGACGTGGTAAGAGCAGACAATGCAAGAAAAAGGAAAAGCACTGAGAAACTCCAAGAAAACATATGTGTGACCATCGAAGACTAAGAAACTGAGGTCATGGGCCGAGTTCAGTGCCGATATCCTCCTTACCAGCTGGGCTGTTACAAGATGCCGTCATGTTTGGTGGACAAAATATATACCTGAATACATATTCTTGGAAGGTATTTAGAGCTACAATTATAACTCAGAAAGAAACTCCAACCAGAGCAGGGGGCCGCAGGAGTGTGAGCAGCTCAGCCCTCCTGGGCTGTAACAGGTGTTGACAAGTTACAGGGACTGGAGTGGAGACTGCTGGAGTGGCAGCCGTTTCATTTCATTTTTCTCTTTCCTCACTGTCTTGTTTTTTCAGGCAGGTGCACTTTTTTTTTGAAACAAAAATAAAGGGGACCTATTCGGGCTGTCTGTGAGAAGAGCATGTGTTCCAGCTGCACTGGGTTGGGGTCGATCCAAGTAACACGGGATCTGAGCAGAAAGTCCAAGCACCTCAAAATTCTGCCCCCTCAAATGGGACGCAAGCAGTTACAGCATCTGATGCAGAAACACGGGGTCTGTCTAGAGTGGACTCACCTGTGGGGCTGGGCTCACCGGGGGCAGCGACGGACGCAGCCACAGCAGCATCTGGGGGGTGCATGGCCAAGTCGACCCCAAGACCGCGGACCAGCTGCCCAGTCTGGAGGGGATCTTCCTTGGAGGACGCCAGTGCACGGGACATCAGCCATGACTTGGAGGCAGCCAGAGAGGGGTCCAGCGTGTCGTTGCCAGCAGCCAGAGGGCAGAGGCCCGGGCTAGGGCGGACAGTGGGGAGAGCGGCAGGACCGTGGCCAGGTCCCTGCTGGTACCTCTCACCACCCTGCAGAGACCTGGGGAACACAGCACACATCATCCCTTGGTGGGCAGAGGCTCTCTCAGGACGGGACAGGGGGACCTGGGGGAGACTCCAGCCCAGTTAGCGATTCTGGGCTCCCAACGCCACCTAGCCTCTGACGGCTGTGGGGTCCACCCCATCTCCAGTCACACTGCCTTCACAGTTCTCCCTGGGGCTGCAAGGGTTCCAGAGACACAAAAACTACCACTGCTAGAAACCAAAGCCACATTAGCAGTTTCTTTACAAGGCCCTTCAATAAAGCATTGCTGCACAGTATTGACAGTGGAAAGTGACTAGGAAGCCCCTAAGAGTTGAATAAATACATGAAGGTGGATCATTAAGGAATATTAGGCAGCAGTTAATAATTTAAAGAGTGAATATTCCACAAATGCTAGTAGTATCTCACTCCTGGGCTTTTGTTAACAACTCCCCACCCCTATCACCTGTGGACCAACCCGCATGGCACTGGTGGTCCTATCACTACCTCCATTTCACAGGTGAACAAAAGTGAGACACTGAGGTCACAGGGACTTGCCTGCAGTCACACATCTGGGCAGTGCCGGCCTGGGTGTAAGGTGCCAGCCTGGTGGCGTCATGAGAGACGCTGCCCACACAAGGGTCAGTGGAAGAGGTGGGCACAGCTTGCTGGTTACACAGAGTGGACCTGGCCCCACGCTCAAACTTTGTCCTGCTGCTGACCCACACTTCCCTCAGCCTCACTGCATTCATGCAGCATCCCAGGAGGTGAGGGAAAGAGCTCGAACAGTGCCTGATCCATAGTATGAACGCAAGAACTGTTGCCTGTTACTAACTCAAATAAATACTACCTGGACCAAATGCTAGAGAAACAAACCACGAGAACAGATGGTCTGTCTTGGAGGTAGGTCTGCGTGTGTGTCTTTCCAAGTCTGTGTTCCCCAGTCTCCAAAACTGACGTGAAGCCAGACTATGAGTCAGGTTCTGGGCAGCCAGTGTGGGTCCCCAACGTGGGCTCCTTGCCAGTGGCTCCCCCATCCCTGGGATCACAGCCATCTCTGTTCTCAGCCATCCTCGACCTGGTCCCAGTGTCCAACAGGCTTTCCCATGACCACCTCAGGTCTGGTCTCCCACCGAGGACGGGGGAGCTGAGCAGGAAGACAGTCCCATTGCCTATGAGGAGGGCAGTACCTGGAAGCCAGTGATTGTGGCATAGTCCCACCTCCAGAGAAGTCCGGGGTCGGGGCCAGGGGCTCCCACGGCCCTTGGGTGGCCTCCTGGGTCTGTACAGGCCCACTCTCCTCAGGTCCTGCTGAAAATGCACCGGACACGAGAGGCGGCTGGGGGATGCTCTGAATCCCAGACTCCTTCCCAGCAGGTTAAGAACAACCACACTGGCTGGAAAAGGTTGTTGCCCAGCATTCTTGTTTGTCCCTTGATCTGTCTTTGGCCTGAATGGCAGTTACCAACCCAGGACATCCTAAGTTCTGGCACTTGGCTCCCTTCCCACTGCCTCCTGGCCCTGGCCACACAGTAGCCTCGAAGGCAAAATGCTGCTGCAGCACCACCCAGGCCCATCCTGAGTCCAACCTGACTCAGCTTCAGGGATCTCACTCCCCATGGGGTGAAGTCTTGAACGTGTAGACTGGGGGAGGGTGTCCTGTAACCAGGGACCCTACCTCAGCCTGGCCATAGACATAGGTTTTGTGAGACAGGCCACTCACCTGACCACTGAGGCCTGTCCACACACCCAGAGCCAAGGTGGGGGTGGCCTGCAGGCTGCAGAGGGCGTGGACCTGCCCCCGTCACGCTGGGGTTGTCCACCGCATCTTGGGCTGGCGCTGCATGCTGCACAAGGGCCCTCTGGCGCCGCCGGTAATTGGCAAACCAGTTGGTGACCTGCTCCACGGTCAAGCACGTCTCCGAGGCCAGGTCCTCCTGCCTCGAAACAATGCACCTCTAGGCCAGCCGGCTCCTGAAGCGCCAGGCCGGGACAGTGAGCCAGCCTGGATACCAGGCAGCGGGGGCACCGAGCGGGCTGGGACACGGAGCCGACGGGCACAGTGGCCTCTGGCCTCATTCCTCAGTCACACCGCCGCACCGCCGACAACCACCCAGAGTCCAGAGGCCTAGGGCAGGGCCTGCAGACTGGACCCTCCAGAGGTGACACCAGACCACTGCCCGCCTGCCCGCTCGGAGTGACAGCGCGTCTGCCACGATCGACCCCTGCGATCAGGCACCTGTCCTTCCTCTGGACCCAGCTCCCAACCACCTTCACGGCCCCGGCACCAAGCTCTGGGAGAGAGCCCCGCCCGTCAGACAGAAAGAGAACGTGCGGGGCGGTAACTGCCAGACTCCGGATGATTGGAGACAGAGAGGAGGGGCGGGGCAGTCACTGGGAGAGTCCAGCCGATTGGATGAGGGAAGGAGGTGGGGAGTCATTGGGAGAGTCCAGCTGATTGGACGGGGAGGGAAGGGGCGGGGCGGCCACTGAGCGAGGCCCCCTGATCAGACTCGGAGAGAAGGAAGCAAGCCAGCTTTCCGACTTGTAGGACTCCCACTCGCACCCCCTCAGCCTACTCCCTGAGAGCTCAGCCCCTCCATCCTTCCTGCTGGAGCCCTGGCTGCCGCGAGTGCTCAGTGAGCATCTGTTGAAGCCACACTGGAGGACAGGATATCGAGAGACCCTTGAGGAAACCAGACCCCCTACTTGTGCACGCTGGACCAACGTTCAGGGGCCGCCAGCCAAAGAACGCCGTCCCCAGGGCAGTTCAAAGGAGGCAGAGCCCACCAGCGCCCTGGCAGACAGGCCACTAGGTTGTGGATCAGTCACTAGGGGTGTGATATCACTTCAGGGTGGGGTTCTCCTAAGGATGGGGCTTTCCCTAAAAGTGGGAGTCCCCCAAGGGTGCATGGTCACCTAAGGGTCGGCGGTCAGGCACCTAGTGATGGGTGTCCCTAAGGACAGAGAGGGTCGGGTAAAGGGAGGGGTGTCTGGCCTCGCTCTCACTGCTCTTACCCGCTGGGCCTTGCTGGGGCTGGCGCTCACTCTCGAGGCAAAGTCCTGCAGCTTCTGGCGAACTTCTCTGGGGAAGTTCCGGTTTCTGAGGCCGTCAGGGCAGAGGAAGGGAGGCGGTGGATTCCTGGATGAGGGCAGTGGGAAGGTGGTTACAGATCCCTTCTTCTGGGCCCAGCTGTGTGCTCGCCTAGACCTCCTCTCCTCTCACTGGCTACTCTTCTTGCTGGCTGTGTGCTGCAGCCCCCCAGTCCATCCCCGGAACAAGGGAGGGGTCTGGCACTGCTCCAGCTCCCACTCCACACTCTCACCAGACTTCCAGGACCAGTCACTGACCAATGGTCCATGACTGCTGAAGCTGGATGATGAGGATACTGAAGCTGGATACTCTATTCTCTTGACTGTGTGTATACTGGAATTTTTCCAAAAGAAAAAAGTGACATAAAAACAAACAGCAACCTGTCTCTACACGATCTGCTACCCAAATGTCAACTGAACAAATCCCCATGAAGGACAAAAACGCACCCACACATCCCACCTCCCAGTGAAGCTCCACCCCCCACCCCCAGCCCGTCCTGGGTATCCAGTGAGAGACCACCACGCGCCAGCCAATCGGGCCGAGAGCCCCAGAGCCCAGGTTGTTTCCCTTTACCTTCTCCAGTCCATCCAGCCTGCCAGCAAATCCTCCAAAGCCCATCCTGACACCACCCTTTCTCCAGCCACAGCCACTCCCCGAACTCCAAGAACCTCCCACCTCTGCTCCTGCACTGGCCATCTGCTGTGACTCCCACGTCACCCCTCCTTAGGCCCAGAGAGAGCCGTCCCCATGCTCAGGCCTCTCCCAGGCTCGCCGGGTCCCTGCTGCAGCCCCCACCACAACAAAGGGCCAATGCATCACAGCTCCTACAGAACGTGTCCCATCTAGCAGTTCTTGCTCTGAATTATGGGACCTGCTGTTTCCTGGTCTATGGTCCACCATCCACGCTCCCGGGCAGCTCCAGGAGAGCAGGGCCCCAGCAACCAGGGGCCTCTTCACCAACACCCCATGCTGGTCCCCCAGTCATTTACTCTGCAGAACCACCCTCTGGCAGGCTGTCAGGACCTGTACTGAGGTTCATGACTGTGTCCCCAAAAACTCCAGGACGGATTAACTGCTGGGCTTCAAAGTCATAACTGGCAGGGACCACGAGAAAAACTCGGTCTGACCCAAAAAGCTTCCACCTCTTCTTCCGTCAGTCAGGCCCATGGCTCAGCAACCCCTGCCCCTTGGGCTGTCAGGAGCCCAGAGCGAGTCCTGCAGCCCCTCCTGGCCAGGGGGGAGCACCTAGGAACAAAGGCTCCACAGTTGTGATGTCTAGGCTGGAATCCTGCATCTCTCTAGTGTGGAACCTGGGGCAAACCCTTCTGTGCCTCGGTTTCCTCATCCGTGAATGGTGAGGATGGAAACAGTCAGAACCGGGCGTGACGTTTACTCAGTGCTGACCACGGTCATGGTGGTAATTACCACGAACATCCACTCAGCAGCTGTCGTGTGCCAGACAGTTTCCTAAGCACTACATCGATCATATCGTGCCTACAGCACCCTCGTGTTTTTCTCTCTTTCAAGGGTCCTGCAGCCCTGAGGGGCCATGCTGGGGTCCAGGCCAGGCCACCTGCAGTGTCTGACCACGGGGATTAGCCAACCTGAGGGACATCCATCCCTCAGAAGGAGGGTGGGATCAGAGTGTCCGCCCACTGACTCCCTCCCTCTGGGGTCCTGCCGGATGGACAGTGGCTCCTGCTGCAGCTTGGACTCTTGCCTGGGTCCCAAGAAGGGCTCCCCCTCCTTGCCCTGCAGGCATTGGTCCCCACAGCCAGTGGCGCTGGAGCAGAGTGTGGCTGAGTGTAGGGCACCAGCCGATGTCGCACCTATTACCCTGCCTGTTCCTGCTTCTCCTGGCTTTTCCTGCCCTTATCTCCCTGCCTCTACTGCCCTTCAGCCCACCTGTGGCTTTGGACGGCAGATCCCTTGGGGGCCGCAGGGACTCTGGGCAAATCAAGGTGGGCACCTACCTCTTCCTGCACCTGAACTTCTGCACGGGGGTCAGCAGGGCCACGCCAAGCCTCCTCATGAGCAGACAGTAGTGAATGTCATTCCAGAGCTGCACCAGCTCGGGGCTGCCTCCTGGCACCCGGCATCCCTGTGGAGAAGAGCCTGATGAGACCTGAGCCCTGGCCAGCCCGGGAGCCCTGGGACAAGCTGCTGGCTGGCACCCACTGGCTGGCACCTCATGGCCAGCCGGGCTCCAGTCCCCACCAGGCTGGGTGGGAAGTCCCTGGGGGCTCAGCCTCGCCCACTCACTGAGCACTGCTGCCCTTCCAGAAGGCAAGGCGGGCAAAGCTCTCCATCACTGCCCACTGGTGAGGAGCACCAGCAACAGGAGGACCAGGGACGAGCCTGCGGCCATAACACACAAGGCAGAGCTGCACCGCAAACCACAGGTCACGTTTGAGGGGCCCGAGGCCTGTCCCCCATCTTGAGTGGAAGACCTTTGTCTCCCACCAGCAGGGCGGGCCCCTGGGGCTCAGTGAGCACATTCTGAGCTGGGGGGGATGAAGGGGTCCTGGCCTGTGCCAGTGACAGCTCACCAACCCAGTATGCCTTGGTCCTGGAACCAGGCTTGGGAGCTGGCCAAAGACGCCAAGTTGGGCCTACCCTGGACACAGGCCCTATGGTTAGTGTGTGGTTCCTGCCTTCAACCCCAGTGTTCCTGGGACCATCTTGGTGAGGGAGGTGCTGAGAATCATTTAGCTTCCACTCCACAGCATCAGGAAAAGCCCATTTTGCTGGGCTGAGGCCTGTAGTCTTCTGCAGAATGCAGCAGTTGGCCTTAGGCACAATCATCAGGGAAGCCACAAGGGGCTTCCCTGCCTGCAGGAGTGGCCATTGGCCGTAAATGCCTTTTCTCAATGTGGTGGCCCTGTCCTCTGTCTCGGGTCTCAGAGCACATCACCTCCCGACATTTCTGGACCATCCTGACCGAGCTATAGTCCCTCCCCTGGGAGTTTTTCATCATTGATTGCCTTCACAGCAGCTGTTACAAGCCTGTGTGTTCATCCATTTATTCGGACATATTTGGAAAATGGAGCCCTCTTCTGTTCCAGGTGCTGTGTTGGGATCATTTAATAAGCAGAACTGAGGCGTTCCCGATCCTGGGGCCTGCAGTGCAGGAGCGGAGGCAGACCACACACAGACTGACAGAGAAATAGGTTGCTCATTCTGAACTGAGGAAGGAGCCATGAAGGCACACGAGGGACTCTCCTTGAGAATAAAGAAGCACTAGCTGGACTGGGTGACGCTGAAAGCAGACACCAGAGTGGCAGGAAGGCACAAGCCACACAAAGAGCAGGGCTCCAACCTCTGGCTGAGGGAATGGCTCACACGGGGTCAAAGACAAAGATCTGGGGACTTCGAGGACAGCACGGAAGCCAGTAAGGCCACTGTCGGGACTGGAGAGCAGGCTCTGGGGCCACTGCCTGGGTGCACACCGGGGTACCTACCACCTGCTGTCTTAAACACCCCTCTGGCTGGTGCGTGAAGACTAGATTGAGAGGGCAGGAGAGGACCGGGGGAGGGCAGCCAGGAGGACGCCCCAGGGCTGGGATGGGGGTGGGGAGCGGAAACAGAAGGCACAGGGAAGAACTGGGCAGCCTGAAGGTAAAAGCAGCATGAACCACGCACCAGCTGTAACAGGGAGTGAAAGAGGGAAACACAGCCCCCCACACGTCCTACTGCAATCCTGTGAGCCAGATGGATTTTGGAATTCAGAATTTCTCAGATTTTCGACAGTAATACAGGCAGAAAGTGTGTAATCTGCACCACCCCAGTATAACCTGGGGCAGGCAGCATCCTGCAACCAAACATACCAGTATTTAGGTAGTAAAATGTACCAGTCACATTAAGTGAGTAAATAAAGAGCATAAGTAGCTTCACATGCACGCAGCTCAGGTTTTGGTGCCAAATGAGCTGAGGTTCAAAGTACCACCAGAGGAGTGACCCAGCAACCTGCAGTTTCAGACTTCCCAAATGGAGACCAGGAGCCTAGGGTCTGTTTGACTGTTTGTCTCACTCCCTGGGATGCCGACTGTCCCAGCCAGGACCACCCTTCCAGGACCACCGGGATTTGATAAACGGAGAGTTTTGCCTCAGACTACCCAGTGAGGAATTCTCACTGGCTGAGAGTAAATGGTTCCAACTTGGTGTATAGCATCTCTCCCCAGGCTCTTGCTGACTTCTGGGGATTTCTGTCATGTCTGGGGAGGTGGTGGCTTCCGCACCTCTGTCTGCACCCCCGTGCAGACCAGTCCTACCTCTAGCAAATGGCGGGCGGCCAGGTACTGCTGCTGCTGGGCCAGCACGCGGGCGCACACCAGGGCCACGTCCACGCTGTTCAGGAGGTGCAGGCGGAGCTGGCTGCTCAGCACCGCCGTGACCAAGGGCTGCGCCCGGGCGGGGTCGTCCTGGACCTCCCGGCACATCCTGCCTGTGAAGCTCACCAGCTCCGCCAGGGGCGGACCTGCGTCGCCCCCGCCACACAGCAGCTGCAGGAGGCGCTGCATCCGGAGTCCGCTGGGGCCCCTCTGCGAACAACACAATGGTCATGACAAGGGCCCGCGTTGACCACAGGCTGACCACACAGCAATCCTCAGACCAGCTCTGCGAGGCCCCTCCTGCCGCAGGTGCTTGGAAGGCGGGGGTCAGGAGAGAAGGCGTGGCATCGTTGCCCCCCCGAGTTGCCTCGTAGTCCCCACAACTGTCCAGCCCTTGGTTGTGCACCAGGTCCCAGCCCTGTGCTGACGCTGGGAGTTCGCCTCGCTCCTCTGAACCTTCCCTCTGTTCTGCTGCTGCCCCCTCCCCGTACCTCCTCCTCTCCACTTCCCCCACATCTCACGCACGTGGTCACTACGGTTCCTGTCGCTCCTCCTCTGCGTTCAGTGGGGGCGGGGCCCACCCGGGTCCGGTCATCAGATTTCCCCAGTATCTGCCAGAAGGGTGTCCAGGCCTCTCTAAACGGTGGCCGGGGTTGGGGGGGGTGGGTGGAGGCGGTGCCCTGGGCCGGGGGCAGGGCAGAGGCCCTTCACGCTCCTGCGAAGGGGAGTCCAGGGGCGCAGCCCCGCGGCAGGACCAGCAAAATGTGGTTTTAACTCTTGATTTTGAAAAAAAAGTTTATATTTGAAAACCACGAAGATTTACAGGTTGTCCTCATCTGACAAATTAATAAAAGAAAGGAAAGGGGAGGAAAAGGAAGAAGGAAGGAGAGAAAGAGAGAAGGGGGGTGGAGGGGGGTAATCTACACAAAGGAATGAACCCGCGCCAGCCTCCCTGGCCCAGCCCTGCTGGAGTTCCGGCCCCTCGCCCTCACATCGCTGCCGGCACCGAGCTTCCCCTTTGCCGGGTGAGGACGGAGGATGAGAGTGGAGGTACCTTGCCTCTGCCCGGAAGTGGGGCCCCAGGCAGGCTGACTTGTGTGTGCAAGGAGGGAACCCTGACATGTTACACTCAAAACCCCACTCTGCTGCGCCCCCTGCTCTGCCCTCCCACCCTCCACACAAACAGGTGAGCCACGCCGCGCTGGACTGAAGGCGTTTTAACAGCAGAGAGCGCTTGTTTCTGGCAGTACTTAATGTGGCCAGCACCGCAGAGGCAATTCCTGGTCTCCGCCCGGTCCTGCAAAGTACCCCACGACAGGAGGGGCGGCAGCCTGCAGCAACGCCTCCCCAGCCCTGGACGTTCAGACAGTAAGCCAGGGACCGCTTTTTCCAGGATAACTTTCAGACCTGTGTTCACAACTGCCCCTACTTCTATGGAACAGACGCCTGGAAGCGAGGTTAAAGGGTGCGATCTGAGGAGACGCTGCCAAACCGCTCTCCACACAGGCTGTGAGAATCCGCAGAGAACAGCCGGGCTCCTGGCAGAGGGTCTGCGCTGTTTCCAGCCCTCTCCGCCCCACACTGCTTCCAGGGGCGCCCGCCGGGGGTGGGGACTCCCGTCTATGCCACCTTTTCCCAGCCTTAGCGCCCTGTCACCAGCTCCTGATACAGGGCCTCACGTTTCTTCCGGTCATGACTGGCAGGAGGCGAGGGACCGTGGTTTCCTCCCGTGCCAACCCCACCTCCACGCCTGGCTCCGGGAAGGGCAGGAAAGAGGCCAAGGACGGGGCGCATAAGGACGGGACTCTGGAGTTCTGGAAGTAGTGCCGAGGCGCACTGTGAACACGCAGGGGATCCGGCCCAGTGGGGGCGGGGGGCGCGGGGCAGGCGGCTCTGCTGTGCGTCCTGCCTGGTCACCCTCTGCTTGGCCCTGGCTCTGCGCCCCCGGTACTGTGCTCCCCGCGCGGGCTGAGATGCCTGCCCCAGAGGCCCACCCGGGACCCAGACTCAGTCACCCCCACCCAGACGCCTCCCAAATTCACTCACCTTCACCCAGATGCCTCCGGCTCACCCCAGCCCGGAACTGGCTCCCGGCTTCTGCGCTCGGCGCGCACACGTGCTCTGCCCGCACCTGCCCGCACCGCCTTGGAGGCGCCGGAAAAGGAACGGTCGCTACAAAGTGTCGAGGCTTCTCCCAATCCGGGCAAGCGCCCCGCCCAACGACCCGGGCCTGTGCCCTGCGCCCCCGTCCGGGGGCCTGGGGATCCGCCTGGGTTTGGGGTGGGGGTGGGGATTCTGCTCGTTCTCCATGAGCTGCTGGCGTCTCGGGGTCTGAAGGTTCCAGAGTGTGTGGAAGGAGAGGCTCCGGGGTCCTGGAGTCATGGGCTAGGGTGGAGGAGGGGGCGCCACGACCCCCACCCGCTGCAGCAGGAGGAAGCTGTGACCCTGGACTAACCCCATGCCTCCGCCCTGGTGCACTGCAGAGCTAAAGCCCGGCCAGGGTCGAGATCCACACGCCGCAGCCTGTACCCCGCGGGAAGGGGTGCCTTCAAGGAGACCTGGTCGTAGCAAAGGCCACTGAGAATCCTACCCCCTGCAGAATTCTGGGCACATAGCTCCACGCTCTGGGGAGAGGCCTTTGTGATTGTGGGTCTGGGTCCTCGCCAACCCTGGTCAGATACGCAGGGGAAACGACGGACCTGCCGTCGCCCTGGCTCGGACACGGTCTGGCCTCTCCCCTGTGCCGTTGACAGTTTTGTGAGTTGTTGCGCACAGCAAGCTGGAAGGGGCTCTAGACATAAGACAAAGAGGACTTCAAGTTGGTTTTGAAGGGGTGGGCAGGGTCAAAATTCTCTGACGCCAAACGGCAGACTGAGAAACATTTTGGCGTTTGTTCACGTGAAAATCTGGGAAGAATCCAAGCGTCTGGTGGAAGATTTGCTAAATAAATCACACTAAAGAAAGTGGACAGGCTCCTGGAAGGTAATCCGTCATTGTGCCGAGGAAGAATGCTATCAACCCAACTAGTGATCGCGATATTCTGTGCAAGAAAAACTGCGTGTTGCAAACCAGTGTGTGATACGAGCCCATTTGAAAAGTACAGACATAAAATGATACATGCCACATTGTTAAACTGGTTGCCACCGGTTCACAAAATTACTATTTTGTTTTATTATTTTTACTTGGCTTTTTAATTTTCTTCTTTTTGCTTATCCATGTTTTATAACTTTTATAAAATGATCATCTTCTGCTTTTCTCTTTTTAAGCTTCTTTTCAAGAAGTGAAAGAAAAATTAGAGACAAGCGGGTTGGGGGAAGCAATCCCCACCGACCAAGGATACTGACGCAGAAGCAACCCTGACTCGGGCAAACGGGAGATGAGCGGTCGGACGCGGCAACCCCTCCTGTAGTGGGAAGGCAGCCGCAGCCCTCTCTCTAGGACGGGCTAGGTGCTCAGTGACAACACTCCCGATTCCTCTCCACCCAAAAACCACCAATGAGTTTCACCCGTCAGTGGGGCCCAACGTGTCCACGTAGCTACCGTATTAAATTAAATTTAAATGTATTTCAAGAAATTTTATGATTCTAATTTACTGTTATCAGTTACCTTCTTTGGTTACCATTGACTGAACACTCAGTACATCCCAGGTAAGATGTTATGGTTTACACCCGTCTTCTTTGAGGCTCCCAAAGCCCCTCCAAGAGAGAGTTAGGTCCCTTTTTCATGTTACTAATAAGGAAATAGGTCCGGTGAATTTTACAACACTTTCTGGAAGCCCTCCACCAATAAGGGTCCTCCTTTAACTGTCAGGCTCAAAAGCACACATTTTAACTTAAGCACATAACAATTTTAAGTATCCTAAATCAGGGTAAACTCCTCATAAGCTTCACTTTATTAATAGAGGCCTGCTCTTCCAGCAAAAGGTAGGCCAAAATGTGATTCTCCAACATGCACTGGAAACAGAGGTGGCCTCTCTCCTCTTCTCCCGGGCTGTCGAGTCTAAAACGCAGCCCTTACCGCCTAATGCATTCTAGTACATACTTCCTTACTAGCTCCAGATTTTCTGTTCTCTTCTGGACCCAGGCTACCTGAGGTGGATTCCCAGTTCGATTACTTACAGCTGTGTGATTTTGGACAAGTTACTGACCCCCTCTGTACTTTCTCTCCTCCTGGGTAGCTTATTATTTGTAATCATAACAGGACCGCTTTCCTCATTGCATTGAGATAATTAAGTGCATCAATACTCAACATGTGCTACGTCCATCATTTCCTTACCTACGCTGTTTATTTTTAAGACATTCAAAACCTGGCAAGGTAACCCCCCCCCTCAGAAATTTCCTGGTGATTCGTGAACTTTCCCCATAATGATTAACTGAACACATTTTTAACAAAAAATCCCGGATCCACAGGAGGCTGGAAGGCCATTTAGATCAGCCTCCTCAGAACGTCTACCTCACCCTGAACCCCTCTTTGCCCTCCAGGAAGTTGCCTCCTCCCCAGGGGTTCCCCTCAGGGAGTTCCTGCCCAACTCCCACTGCCCCACGAAGCCTTCTCAAAGGCTCCAGGGTTAAGTACCTCTTGGGAGACTCATCAGATCTGCTGAATGTCTGTCTGCGTATTAGGGGCGCTGGTGGCTGTTGGAGACCAGTGCTCTGGCCCTTCTGTTGGGTTCACAGAACTACAGGTAGATAGATGCCTGATGGAAAAAAGAGGCAGAGTATCTGACGTCTGGGGCAGGTTGCTGTGAGGAACAGGAGGAGCAAAAACAGGAGCTTGAGAGAGTGACTCAGCTGTCCTCCCTCCCTCCCTCCCTTGGAAGACAGCAGATGCAGCTGGGGCCGGAAGCAGGAAAACCTCCCCACCCACGTACTGACCCAGAGGCACCAGGAATGCTCCATGTTTTTGCTGTGCCCGAGGCAGCTCAGGCTGACAGCCGCAGAGGAGGGTTGGACCCTGTTCTTTTATAAGCCCAGATGAGTTGTACCTCCAGCTGAAGGTCTTCCAGGGGGCCCAAGCCATGCATTGCCCCCACCCTGGGCCCGGTCCAGGTCCCTGCCCAGGGCGTGCCTCCTTCATCACCCTGGGTTCCAGGTTCACTACTCAGGGCAGCAACCCAGCAGGTGGTGCCCAGCACTCCCTGGAGTCTGTATCAGTAAGGTCCAGGCCAGAGTCCTGCATCTTCCAAATAAGGCTGGGATTAGGGAGAGGCAAATGAGGAATCACAAAACAAACCATCAAGATAAGTCATATTTTAATACAGTATTTTTGAAAAAGATCAATTATTTTTGCCAGAGAATCTATGATGAAGAAAACATTGAAAACATTTTTTGAAGATGAGCATTACTGGTTTTCCCTTTTGCTTCAGGCTCAAAGGTGCCTGGGCCGTGATGCTGTGGCCAAGCAAGGCCCCTTTGCCTGCTACAAACCTTTGCCTCCGCTGGTAGTTCAGGGCGAGGTGGGGTCAGGGGCTCGGAGCCCAGGGCTGTTTACTGAGCACACAAGACTCTCTGAAGTGGGTAATTGGCCATCATTTCCAAATGACAAGATTCTTGAAATATTTGTTACTCATAACACTTTTGCTTACAAGTTTTAGCATTCATTGATAATTCCTGCCTGAAACAGTCCTCACTGTAGTGGCTGCCAAGTAACAATCTTTCCAATTTCATCATTTCTTCTACATTTACCAGCTGGAATTCCACGGTCATAGTTTTTCTCCTGCCTCCTCTATTATTTCAGTGCATCTTACTTCTATTTACCTTTCTGTTCTGTGTGGTTCTTTGTTCTTTCAAATAGCTTACTTCGTAATTTAGGAGGCTTCCTAATTTTGTTCCAGCTGTTACTTTTGTATTGTCCTGAATCCCACATTTCTCCATCTTTTATTATCAGCCAGTCAGTTAAAGGGGTTCCCTTTGGTTTCCTCCTAGTATTAATGACAATCTCTTACTGCTCCCTCTTGCCTGTTCCCATGCTGACTCATAGCTTTACTACTTTACCAGAAATTCTTTATATAGCATTCTTCCCTCCTGGCTCAACCCTCATAGTCTTAGATATGAAATTAAATATATTAAATGCTAACAACGAGCCCTTTAGCTAGGTAAAGCTCAGCCTCTGATATAGTCCTGAGAAAATTAATTTTTGTATGTGGTGAAAGTACAGATCAAGACTTTTAATTTTTCTTGCAGACGTGCAAGTTTAGCACCATTAAAAAAAAAACACTGTCGCCTTTCCAATGAACTATTTTTCTAACTTTGATAGAAACTGACTATAGAGTATTTTTTTTTTCAGGACTCTAATCTGTATGTCCCTCCTTTCACGAAACTAGTGTCATAGCTACTGAAGCTGATGGTTAGGCCTTGAAATAAAATGGTGTGTCTTGCGATTTTGTTTCCCCTGTTCAACACTGTATTTAGTTCTTTCGCTGTTCCACGTAAATCTCAGTATCACACTTGTCAACTTTTACAGCAAATGCTCCTGGGAATTTGATTGGAATGGGATAGAGTCTATAGATCCGCGTGGGGAACACTTGACGCTGTAACAGCACTGAACCTCCCACTCCACCAACGCAGCACGTTCGCCCGTTGTCCTGGCCATCGTCTCCTCTTCTGCATTGTTCTCAGCATATAGTTCACTTGACTTCATTCCATGGGTCTTTGTGGTACTATCATAAATAGTAGTCCATTTTAATCAAATTTCCAGTTGTCTATTGCAAGTAGGTAAAAATACAACTGTTTTTGAATATTGATTTTATATTCTAGATTTCTAAACTGACGTGTATTATGGTGGCTTTTTTTTTTCTGGTAAAGTTTCTTAAAAGTTTCAGTGAAGGCAATCATGCTGTCTCTGAATAAAGTTGTTCTTGCCTTCCAATCTGTATCTTTTCAACCTCTTTTTCTTGCCTTATGCAGTCAGCTAGACCTTGCACTACAATGTTGAATTGGAGTGGTAACAGGGAGCATCTTTGATTTGTTCTCAATCTTGGGGGAGCTATTCAGCTTTTCTCCATTATGACACTAACTATAGACATTTTCCAGATGTGCTTTATTAGTCTGAGGAAGCTACTTCCTACCCCTGGTTGAATACTGAATCCACCTCAGCTTTGCAGTCCCAAGATAAACTCGTTTGCCTTCATGTATTACGCCTTTTATATACTGGTGAATTAAATTAACTAGCATTTTATTTAGGATTTTTACCTCTATGTTTATGAGGAACATTTGTAAGCTTTTTGATAACATCGGGGTTTTTTAAATTTTATTTTACTGAGTTTAGTCAGTTTACAATGTTGTGTCCGTTTCCAGTGTAGAGCACAATTTTTCAGTCATACACGAACACACATATATTCATTGTCGCATTCTTTTTCACCGTGGGCCACCACAAGATCTTGTATATATTTCCCTGTGCTACACAGTATAATCCTGTTTATCTATTCTATATATGCCTGTCAGTATCACATCTTTTAAAAACAATCAGTGTAACACAGACTTCATAATATGAGTGAAGAAGCACCTGTCACCTATTTTCTGAGTTTGTATAGAACTGGTATTTTCTTTCTTTCTTAAAAGTTCACGGAAATCATCAGTGAGATGATCTGAGCCTGGATTTTTTTCTTGTTGGGAGATTTTTAACTGTGAATTTAATTTCTTTAATAACTGTAGCAACTTTCAGGTTACCTATCTCTTCTTGAGTGAGCTTTGCTAGTTGGTTTCTTTCACGAATTTAGTCCATTTCATCAAAGCTGTCAAATCTGTGCTCTTTATTCCTTTCCACTCTTTGTTCCATTGGTTTCTAGTCTTTTTATTTCACTCCTGTTTACACTGGGCTTATTTTACTCTTTTTCCTAGTTTCTTAAGGTAGGAGTTTAAATTATTGATGTGAGACTTTCATTCTTTTTTAATATAAGCATTTTAGTGCTATGAATTTCCCTTGAAGCACTGATTTTTCTGCATCTCAGAAATTTTGGTCTGTTGTATTTTAATTTGCATGTTTTATAGAATAATACTTTAAGATATTTTCCATATTTCTCTTGAAATTTCTCAGACCCATGAATTATTTGGAATTGGGTTGCTTAATTTCCAAGTGTTTCAAGATTTTCCTGTTCTTTTTACAATTGAGTCTTGTTAAACTGCATTATAGTCTCAACACATTTTGTACAATTTCAATTATTTAAAAATTTTTAAGATTAGTGGGCCAGGACATGAACTATTGGCGAATGCCTCGCATGCAATGGAAAACAATGTTTTCTGCTGTTGTCTGTTCTAGACGTGTCCACCAGGTCTAGTTTGCCGATGATATTATTCAGCCCTTCCATAGCCTTGCGGAGTTTGGTCTCTAAGTCATGTTACCAAGAAATAAACACTGAAGTGTCCACCTAAATTGGTAGAGTGTATTTCTCCTTTCAGCTGTGTCTTTGCATGACCTTGAGGCTTTGCTGTTACGCGCATGCCCACTTAAGGCTGTCTTTGGTGAAACACTGCTTTTATCATTATTCACATTCCTGATCATTTTGGGGTTTTTTTTGTTTAACTTTTTTATTGAGTTACAGTCATTTTACAATGTTCTGACCATTTTCTTTGCTCTGATTATACATTTACTTCTAGAAAAGGGAACATATGTTCTAATGTCAGCTCTCAGGCTGGGAGACAGGGTGGGGCCGAATCAATCTGATCTGTATTTCAGCTGTCTGAGCTTTGTCGCAACTTCTGATTGATTTAGCACAAAACTGCCTTCAGACGTTTGGAGGGCAGGATGTCTTCCTCAGCACGGCCTGCCTGAGCACGAAGGAACTGTAGGGATGCACTTGTGCTCAAGGCCAAGCCGCAAGCTCTCGGAGCCGTGTGAAACATCTTGCCTTACAGCCTGTAGTTATTTTTTGTTGTTGAGATTTTAAACATTTTTTACTGAGTTATAGTCATTTTACAACGTTGTATCAAACTCCAGTGTAGAGCACAATTTTTCAGTTATACACGAACATACATATATTGTCACATTTTTCTTGCTGTGAGCTACCACAAGATCTTGTATATCTTTCCCTG